CTGCATTCACTGACTATCCATGTTTTCCTCCTGGGCTAATGATACCCCCTCCTGACACCCCCCCAGCTGTCCTCTCAGGCCTCTCACAAATGTCACCTCTGTATAAAGTGTCCCTGAGTGTTCTCTACTCCCAGTGGTCTCTGTTTCTCCTTCCTGAATACTTTGCCTCCTTTATTTCAACTGATGGCATTCCTCCTGCTGCCATATTTACTTAATATTAACCTTCCTGCTACACTGTGGCTGCTATGGAGTCCCCATCTGTGTTTTTGCCCTTGACCTTATGCTGCAAATGTAACAAGTGATCAACAAATATTTGCTCACTTGCCTGGCATTATAATAACCCAGTGGTGCTAAAGCAGGAGTAATTTTGTCCCCTAGGGGATATTGGACAATATCTGGAGACATTTTTGGTTGTCCCAACACGGGGTGAGGGGGCTATTGGCATCTAGCGGGTAGATGTGAGAGAAGCTGGTAAGCCCCTTCTAGTGCATGAGAGAGCCCCCCACAACACTCAGTTTTCCTGCCCATAATGTCTGTCAGTGGTGTGGCAGTTGAGAAGGCTAATGAACTAATGAGTTCTCCTTTTGACTAGCTTAGCAAGAAGAAATCAGAAGACATCAGTGTATCAGTTAGGCAGGAAATTCTCCCTAGGAAATTCATGCCTATTTTTTATTCTTCTTTTAGGAGCTAAGGTTATGGTAAGTAAGGCCAGTGCAAAGCTCTTTCCTAATGCCATAGAGGTGCCCTGGGAGCACAGATGGTATTTTCACCACTTGTTGGCTTCAGAGCATGGAGAGTGACCTCCCAGGAATCCTTGAAGTGTTAGGAATGTAACTCTGTTAAAGGAAACTCAGGGCTGCTTAAGTCCAGCAAAATGTCAAACAGGGAACTGTGCCCCTCATAGAGGCCAGGGCAGGCGTTTCTCAAAGCGCTCTCTCCTGCTACCCAGCTGAGGTGAAACTTCAGAGCAGGATCTGGAATCAATGATTGAAGCAAACCCGAAGCCCTGTCACCTCACTTTTCCAAAACTGTGCAAAGGAGCTTGAGAGAGGGCTCTGTCTTCCATGTGCTTCGGCGAGCAACTCATCTGCAGGAATGTCATTTGCTGGAGACTCAGGAGGCACGTGGATCACTTGATTGAAAACAGCAACCCCATCAGAGCAGAGGTGACGGGCTTATAGGCACCTCTCATGTTCCTACTCACCCAACCTAACCGGTTCCCATGACTGACATGGAAACGGAGTAATATATGCCCTGAAAATGAAAGGTAGGCTTAGTCAGAAGGAGTTCAACAAGGCCAGGAATAGGGGTTGAAATACTATTTTTTAAAAAAGCTTTGGCTGGGGATTTAATGTGGCATTGCGCCTGCCTCACAAGCACACAAGATCCTAAGTTTGATCCCCGTATTGAAACAAAAACAAAAACAGACAAAAATTTAAAAATAAAAATAAAAAAACTGTCCTTGGGGTTCAGGCTGACTGGAACCTACCTTTAACGCACTTGGTACAGACAAAAATGTCAAGCAAAGGATTCTGAGAGGGGCACCCCAGTACCCCTCTTTTAGACACTCTCCAACTTTTATGCCATAAACACACACACGTGCGTGCACATACACAGAGCAAGGTGTGACTGCATTATTGCACTGTTCTGCCTTTTATCCAGGAAATAAGCCTTTTATTTTTGTCCACATATTTGACAAAGTGCCACTCACTACGTGATTTGTTCAGCTCAGTTTTGATGAAAACCCTTGAAAACAAAAACATAGAGTATTTGGCAGATTGTGAATTGCAAAAGTATTTAATGATGATGGTAATTAGGATAATGGAATAATGTGTGTTGAGTGGATAGTTCACAAGACTTTATGTAAGAAAATATAAAATAGGATCATTTAAAGAACCAGATGGGCATCCCCAAACTAATTGCAATTTCAACAAGAGTGAACTGAAAAGGACCAACAATATTCCTGGGTGGTATATATTTATGCTTGAACTAAACTAAAAACTATTTCAAATTGGATTACTTGTCCCAAAACTCAGTTTCTTTTACTCAAAATTTACAAACTCCTCACTGTGGGCCAGGCATTGTGTTAAGAGTTTAATAATATACAATGGCGAATAATCCTTGCCCTTGGGAAATTTAGACTCTAGTGAAATAGCCATTCTTTGTTTCATTCACTGAAGGAAGTATTTACTCTGTGCCCATATGTTTTGGGAGTACAGCGACAGAAAGTACGGATAATGGAACTACATCATAATGGGTAGAAGGGAGAGCAAGGACAAAGGTTTTGAGGCAGCTGCAAGCATGCTGGGGCCAGGTAACAAAAAGAATATGGTAGGAAAAAAAAATATGGTGGGCCGGGGATTTAGCTCAGTGGTGCCACCACCTGCCTCCCCAAGCACAAGGTCCCAAATTCGATCCCCAGAACTAAAA